TTAAGAATACATACGAGAAAGCTCATGGAGCAAGGAGAGAGTGAACCCAGCGAAGAGGTGGGGCCAGGAGCTGTAAATCGATCCCTCCAACCACAAATAAGTACGAGTAAATAGGTACGAGGAAATAGGTAAGAACACACATCTTTACTGGATACGTTTCGGTCCTGAGACCTTAACCACCAAAAAGAAACGTATCAATTATTCTGCTCAAGTTGTGTATCTCACCACAAATTTTGATAATATTCAAAAAAAATAAACACTTTTTTTAAAAAAAGCATAAAAAATTTTTTACTTTTAAAATTATTAACCTGATAGTTTAACCCCAGACCCTCCGACATGACCTTTGTGTGTAGCCTGAACATACCCTGTGTGTAGCTGACTGACCCGGTGTGTACCTACAGACCCGTGTGGTAGCCTGCATGACCCGTTTTGGGTTTGGGGTTACCTGACATGACCCGTGTGTTAGCCTGAAAAGACCCGTGGGTTTCCTGTGGGGGTGTAGCCCGACATGACCCGTGTTGTAAAGCCTTGGGACCCCCCAGACCCGTTGTGTGTAATGGTGTTGAGCCTGGGCATGACCCCCTGTGTGTAGCCCGACATGACCGTTTGGTGAAAGGGGGTGTTTGCCGACTGACCCGTTGTGTAGCCTGACATACGTGTGTGTAGCCTGACTGCCCTTGTGTGTTGTGAGGGGGTAGCCCGACATGACCCGGTGTGTAGCCTGAATGACTGTGGTAGCCCGAAAATTTACCCGTGTGGGGGTAGCCTGACATGACCCCTTGTGTAGCCTGACATGACCCAGGGGGTGTGTGTTTTTAGCCGACATGCCTGTTGTACCGGACCCGGGGGACCTCTGTTTTTTGTAGCCCTGACCCTGTTGACCTGTGGGGGTGTGTAGCCTTTAATGACCCCCTGTGTGTAAGGGCCGACATGACTGGGGGTGTAGCCTGACAGACCCCGTGTGTGTAGCCTGACATGACCCGTGTGTAGCCGACATGACCCCTGTGTGTTTTTAGCCTGACAAACCCCTGTGTGTAGCCTACATGACCCGTGTGGTTTGGTACCAAAAATGGACCCGGGGTTTTTTGTTTTGCCCCCGGGCATGACCGTGTGGGGTACCCCGACATGGGCCCCTGGTTTGGGAAACCTGACTTTACCCTGGTGTTTTAACCCCGACAAAACCCGGGGGTGTTTGCCTGACAAGACCCGGTGTGGAGCCCGAACCCAAAACCCTGTGTTTTACCCCGACAAGGGCCCGTGTGGTTTGCCTGACAAAACCCGGGGGTTGTAGCCCGACATGACCATAAAGTTAAACCTTACCCAAAACCCTGTTTTGTAGCCTACAAACCCTGTGGTAAACCAGACAAGGAAATCCGGGTGTTTTTAGCCCAAAAAGAACCCCAAAGTGTAGCCTGACAAAGGGCCCCGGGGTTTTGTTGCCTGACAAGAACCCCGGGGTGTGTTTGCCAGACAAAAAAACTCGTGTGTTTTTAAACCCGGGGCAAGACCCTATTGTAGCCTTTACAAGGGCCCCTGTGTTTTAGCCTGAAAATGAACCCCTTTTTTAGTTTAAAGGGGCCCGGGGGTGGTTTTTGTCCTGACCCTGACCCGTTTTTGTACCTGACAAGACCCGTTTGTGGTAACCTGAAAATGAACCCCTTTTTGTGTTTGCCTGACAAGACCCGTGTGTGTAGCCTGGGCAAGAAACCCGTTTTTGTGTAAACCTACAAGGGGCCCGTTTTGTGGGAACCTGACAAGACCCGTGTGTGTAGCCAGACAAGGGCTCGTTTTTGGTTTTTTTTGTAGCCGACCCCAAAACCCTTTTTGGTTTTGGTAGCCGGAAAAAGACCCCCTGTGTGTAGGGCCCGACATGACCCCGTGTGTGTAAATCTGGGCCCAAAACCCGTTTTGGTGTAAACCGAAAAAGACCCCCCTGGTTGTAGCCAGACCCAAAACCCTTGTTTACCAGACAAAAACCCGTTTTGTGTAGCCCGACCAAAACCCGTGTGTGTAGCCCGAAAAAGATCGGGGTTTTTGTAAAACCCCGGGCAAAGGGGCCCGGGGTGTGTAGGGCCAAAAAGACCCGTGGTTGGGAGCCTGACAAACCCGTGGGAGTTTGCCCCGGGCAAGACCCCCCTGTGTGTTTGCCTGACAAGACCCGTGTGTGTACCAGGGCCCAAAACCCGTGTGTTAGCCAGACAAACCCGGGGTGTGTTTGCTAGGGCAAGACCCGTGTGTTTTAGCCCTGACAATACCCCTGGGGTGTAAACCAAAACATGACCCTTGGTTTTGGGAGCCCGGGCAAGGGCCCTTTTGTTTTAGCCAACATGACCCGTGTGTTTTTAGCCTGACATGACCCTGGGGGTTTTAGCCAGACAAGACCCGGGGTTTTTGTACCAGACAAAAAACCCTTTTTTTTTGTTTTTTTCCCGACAAACCTTGTGTTAGCCAGGGCATGAACCCCGGTTTTTGTGTAGCCGACGAGGGGCCCCGGGGTGTAGCCCGACAAGGGCCCCCTTGTTTGAAACCAGCATTTACCCGGGGTGTTTTTAGCCTGGGCAAGGGCCCCGGTGTGTACCTGGGCAAGACCGTGTGTGTTTGCCCCCCCCCCCCAAGACCCGTTGTGTTTTCCAGACAAGGGCCCGGTTTTTTGGGGGAGCCAGACAAGACCCGTTGTGGTACCCCGACAAAAACCCCCTTTTGTTTTAGCAAAACAAGACCCTTGTGTGTAGCCCAGACAAGACCCGGGGTTTTTGGGAGCCAGGGCCAAATGGCCCCCCTGTTTTGGTTTGCCCCGACAAGACCCGGGGTTTTGTACCCCGAAAAAAAGACCCGTTTTGGGGTAGCCAGACCAAAACCCCTGTGTGTAGCCTGACAAAACCGTGTGTGTAGGCCCAAAACAAGGGCCCGTGTGTGTTGCCAGACAAAACCCGGGTGTTAGCTTGGGGCAAAGGCCCCTTTTTTTTGTTTTTGCCGATGACCAAAAGGGGCCCGTTGTGTAAACCAGACATGACCCGGTGTTTTTAGCCAGGGCAAGACCCGTGTTTGTAGCCAGACAAGAACCCAAAGGTGTAGCCAAGGGAAAATGTCCCCTGTGTGTAGCCAGACAAGACCCCTTGTTTTTAGCCAGGGCATGTTTCCCCTGTGTGAAGCCCGACGACCTTGGGGTGTGTCGCCTGACAAAACCGTTTTTTTTGTAGCCAGACAAAACCTGTTTTTTTGTAGCCAGACAAGCCCGTTGGTTTTTGTTTGCCTGAAAGGGCCCGTGTGGTAGGGAGACAAGAAACCCGGGTTTTTTTGTTTTAGCCCAAAAAAGACCCGTGTTTTTAGCCAAAAAGGGCCCGTGTGTGAAACTTTGACATGAACCCCTGTGTGAGTTTTGCCCTTTACCCCGGGGTTTTTGTATCCCCGACAAAACCGGGGGTGTGTTTTTTTCCAGACAAGCTTTTGGGGTAGCCAGACAAGGGCCCGGGGTGTGTAGCCCCCCAAGACCTTTTTTGTGTAGCCGACATGCCCCTGTGTTTAAACCAGACAAGGGCCCGGGGTTGAGAAAACCAAGGGGCCCTACCCGTGTGTGTACCAAAAAGACCCCCGTGGGTAGCCCCCAAAAAGACCGTGTGTTGTAGCCAGACCCAAGGGCCCCCGGGGTGTAGCCAAACCCAAAACCCCGTGTGTGTTTTGCCCCATGACCCGTTTTGTGTAGCCCGACCAAAACCGTGTGGTTAGCCGAAAAAGGGCCCCTGTGTTTTTAGCCCCCGACCCAAAACCGTGTGTGGGAACCGACAAGAAACCCCTTTTGTGTAGCCAGAACAAACCCCTGTGTTTTTAGCCAACATGGGCCCGGTGTGTTTTAGCCAAAACAAGACCCGGTGTTTTTACCCGGAAAAAGACCCTTGTGTGTTGCCCGACAAGGCCCCCTGTGTGTAGCCAGACCCAAGGGCCCCTGTTGGAGCCAGACAAGACCCTTTTTGTTTTAGGCCCCGGGCAAGACCCTGTGTTTTTAAACCAAAACAAGACCCTTTTTGTGTAGCCAGGGCCCGAACCCCTTGGGGTTTTTGGGAGCCAGACAAGACCCGTTTTGTGTACCAAGGGCAAGACCGTGTGGTTTTAGCCAGACAAGACCCCTGTGTGTTTGGGCCCGACAAAACCCGTTGTGGTTGGGCCCGGGCAAAACCGTTTTTGTGTAGCCAGACAAGAAACCGGGGTGGTTTTACCCGACAAGACCCCTTTTTGTGAGCCGACAAGACCCCTGTGTTTTAAGCCAAACAGGGGGTTTCAAGAAAAACCCCTTTCGGTGCCAACAAACCCCCTTTTTTGTTTTTAGGAAAAAAAACCCGGGTTTGTGTTAGGGGAGACAAGAGGGGGGGCCCTCCCAGAACCCCTGGTGAAAACCCCCGCAAAAACCCTTTGTTTCCAGCAAGGGAAAAACCCGTTGTTTTTTTTGTTGTGTTTTTTGGGGCCAAAACAATTACCTGTGTTGAGGGGGCCAGCCCAAGGCCCTTTGTGTGGGGGTGTGTGTGGGGGGTGTTTTTGGGTTTGGGGGGAGGGGGTGTTGTGGGGATTTGGTGTTTTTTAAGCCCCCCGGGCCAAAACTGGTTTGTGGGTTGCCAGGGGTGGTAAACCCCGGCCCCGTTGGGGAAGGGCCGACCCCTTTTAATTTAGCACCTTTTATGAACATTAATCATACCCCGTTGTTTGGTTTTTTTTAAAATAAAAATGGGGTTTCCCCAAAAATTTTTTTTTGTACCGGGACAAAAAAAAAACATCCTGGGAAACACTTGGGGGCTTCCCCGCCAAATTGTTTTTCCCCCGTTGGGTGAAAAGGAAAAAATTTGCCCCCTTTCAAATTTTCAGAATTTTATTTTCTTCCGGGGTTTTTCCCAAAAACCCCCCATTTTGTCCTGTTTTGCAGGGGGCGACCATTTAAAATCCCCTTTTGTGGTTTGTTGGGTTGTCCTGTTGGTGAACTTTATTCTTTAATAGCTGTTGTTTCGTTGTAGGGAACTAAAACTGAGGATTATCAGATGTTGTACCGGCGAGCACAAGAGAGAGGAGACATCCTGGAGAACACTGGTGCTAGACCCAGCAGCAACACTAATGTACAACATCTGCTGAAGAAAAACATTGCCATTGTCAGTAAGTTTACTTTTACGTCCGTGTGTTATGGGGTCAGTATTCACCTATTTGTGGTTGCAGGGGGTCGAGCCATAGCTCCTTTCAGTGTGTGTGTGTGTGTGTGTGTGTGTGTGTGTGTGTGTGTGTGTGTGTGTGTGTGTGTGTGTGTGTGTGTGTGTGTGTGTGTATGTGTGTGTATGTATACTCACCTTGTTGTGCGCACCTGGTTGTGGTTGCAGGGGTCGAGTCACAGCTCCTGGCCCCGCCTCCTCACTGGCCGCTACCGGGTCACTCTTCCTGCACCATGAGCATTATCATACCTCGTCTTAAAGCTATGTATGGATCCTTCCTCCACTACATCGCTTCCCAAACTATTCCACTTCCTGACTACTCAGTGACTGAAGAAATACTTCATAACATCCCTGTGATTCATCTGTGTCTTCAATTTCCAATTGTGTCCCCTTGTTGCTGAGTCTCATCTCTGTCCACCTTGTCAATTCCTCTCAGCATTTTATACGTCGTTATCATATCCCCCTTATTTCTCCTGTCCTCCAGTGTCGTCAGGTCGATTTCCTTTAACCTCCCCTCGTAGGACATACCCCTTAGCTCTGGGACTAGTCTTGTTGCAAACCTTTGCACTTTCTCTAGCTTCATTACATGCTTGGCTAGATATGGGTTCCAAACTGGTGCCGCATATTCTAATATGGGCCTAACGTACAAGGTGTACAGGGTTCTGAAAGATTTCTTATTAAAATATCGGAATGCTGTTCTGAGGTTTACTAGGCGCCCATGTGCTACAGAAGTTGTTTAGTTGATGTGTGCCTCAGAAGATGTGCCTGGTGTTATACTCACCCCAAGATTTTTTCCTTGAGTGAGGTTTGTAGTCTCTGGCCCCTTAGACTGTACTCCGTCTGCGGTCTTCTTTGCCCTCCCCCAATATTCAAGACTTTGCACTTGGTGGGGTTGAACTTCAGAAGCCAATTGCTGGACTAGGTCTGCAGCCTGTGCAGATGCCTTTGTAGTTCTTCCCGGTCCTCGTCCGATTGAATTCTCATCAACTTCACATCATCTGCGAACTCACTGTTCGGGGTCTATTCTTTCCGTCATGTGTGTGTGTGTACTCGCCTAGTGGTGGTTGCAGGGGTCGATTCATAGCTCCTGGCCCCTGTGTGTGTGTGTGTGTGTGTGTGTGTGTGTTGTGTGTGTGTGTGTGTGTGTGTGTGTGTGTGTGTGTGTGTGCGCGCGCGCGTGTGTGGTGTGTGTGTGTATGTGTGTGTACTCACCTATTTGTGGTTGTAGAGGTTGAGTCATAGCTCCTGGCCTCGCTTCTTCACAGATCGCTACTAGGCCCTCTCTTTCCCTGCTCCATGGGCTTTATCAAGTCTCATCTTAAAACTGTGTAGTTCCTGCCTCCACTACGTCACTTTCCAGACTAATCCACTTCCTGACAACTCTGTGACTGAAGTAATTTTTCCTAACATCCCTGTGATTCATTTAAGTCTTCAACTTCCAACTGTGGCACCTTATTGCTGTGTCCCATCTCTGGAGCATCCTGTTTCTATCCACCTTGTCGATTCCTCTTAGTATTTTGTATGTCGTTATCATATCCCCCCTATCTCTCCTGTCAACCAGTGCCTTCAGGTCAAACCATACCACGGGCGGGGATACAACCCGCGATCAGAGAGTCTCAAAACTTCAGGCCGTCGACGGTCTGGAGTTTTGAGACTCTCTGATCGCGGGTTCTATCCCCGCCCGTGTTATGGTTTGTTTGCAATAGTGTCATTACGATTTCGTGAGTCTTCAGGTCGATTTCCCTTAACCTCTCCTCGTAGGACATGCCCCTTAGCTAATGAACTAGTCTTGTTGCAAACCTTTGCACTTTCTCTAGTTTCCTTACGTGCTTGGCTAGGTGTGGGTTCCAAACTGGTGCTGCATACTCCAATATAAGTCTAACGTACACGGTGTACAAAGTCCTGAACGATTCCTTTGCCAGGCGCCCATATGCTGCAGCAGTTATTTGGCTGATGTGCACTTCAGATGTGCTCGGTATTATACTCACCCCAAGATCTTTTTCCTTGAGTGAGGTTTGCAATCTTTAGCCACCTAACCTATTCTTTGTCTGCAGTCTTCTTTGCCCTTCCCTGATCTTCATCACCTAGCATTTGGCGGGGTTAAATTCTAGGAGCCAGTTGCTGGACCACTCGTCCAGCCTGTTCAGGTCTCTTTGTAGTTCTGCCTTATCCACATCTGATTTAATTCTTCTCATTAACTTCACATCATCTGCGATGAGGGACACTTCTGAGTCTAACCCTTCCATCACATCAGTCACGTATACCAAAAATAGCACTGGTCCTAGAACTGACCCCTGTGGAACCCTGCTCGTCACAGGCGTCCGCTGATATACCTCATCACGTACCATGACTCGTTGTTGCCTCCGTGTCAGGTATTCTCTGATCCATTGCAGTGCCCTTCGTGTTACACTTGCCTGCTCCTCTAGCTTTTGCACTAATCTCTTGTGAGGAACTGTGTCGAAGGCCTACTTGCAGTCCAAGAAGATGCAATCAACCCACCTGTCCCTCTCGTGTCTTACTTCTGTTTCATTGTCATAAAACTCCAGAAGTTTGTGACAGGATTTGCCTTCCATGAATCCGTGCTGGTTGTCATTTATAATCTTGTTCCATTCCAGGTGTTCCACCACTCTCCTCCTGATAGTCTTCTCCATGACTTTGCATACTATACACGCCAGTGACACTGGTCTGTAGTTTAGTACTTTGTTTTTGTCTCCTTTCTTATAAATTGGGATTACATTTGCCGTCTTCCATACCTCGGGTAGTTATCCAGTATCAAGCGATCTGTTGAAAATTGTGGGCAGTGGCACACAGAGCATCTATGCTCCCTCTCTAAGGACCCACAGAGAGATGTCTGGTACCACTGCCTTTGAGATATGAAGGTCACTTAGCAGCTTTCTCACCTCCTCCTCCTCAGTTGTGTGTATTTCATCCAACACTTGTTGGAATATTCCTTGTTGGTGCCCCCTTCTATTCTGTCTTCTTAGAGTCCTTCCTGTCTCCACTGTCAATACTTCCTTAAATCTCATGTTGAGCTCCTTACATACCTCTTGAACATTTCTTGACAGCTCCCCCACTTTTTTCCTCAGCCTGATTACCTGATAGTTGACTGTTGTCTTCCTCTTAATGTGGCTATGCAGCATTTTTGGGTCAGACTTGACTTTTGATGCTATGTTGTTTTCGTACTGTCGCTGGGCCTCCCTCCTTTTCTGTGCATATTCGTTTCTGTCTCTTCGACTGGTCTCCTTATTTTCCTGGGTCCTTTGCCTTCTGTACTTTTTCCATTCTCTAGTGCACTTATTTTTTCCTCCCTACACCTTCGGGTAAACCAAGGGCTCATTTTGGTTTTCCCATTATTTCTGTTGCCCTTGGGAACAAACCTTTCCTCTCCCTCCTTGCATTTTGATGTTACATAGTCAATCATTTCGTTTACTGACTTTCCTGCCAATTTTCTGTCTCACTGAACCTCCTGCAGGAAGTTCTTCATACCTGTGTAGTCCCCCCTTTTATAGTTTGGCTATTCCCATTAAGCTCCTGTTACCCTCTTCACTATTAACTCGACTATGTATTCAAAGTTCAGAACCACGTGATCACTAGCTCCTAAGGGCCTCTCATAAGTGATGTCCTCAATGTTCGTACATGAGTTTTTTTCAGTTCCACAGCCATCATCTTAGCTCTCCATGTTTCGGGACCCTCATGTGGCGCCAGGTTTTCCCAGTCAATCTTCCTGTGTTTGAAATCTCCCATAACCAGTATCTATGCGATGCTCGAGTGAGCTCATTCTGGTCACCTCAGCTAGTGTGTCCACCATTGCTCTGTTGCTCTCTTCGTATTCCTCTCTTGGCTCCTGAAGTTCTGTGGTGAGTTATACATCACTGCAATGACTACCTTATGCTCCTCAGACTGAATTGTACCTGCTATGTAATCCCTTTCTCCAATCTCGTCCATTCGTTCCATTTCCTCAAATCCCCATCTGTTTTTAATGAGCAGTGCAACCCCTCCTCCCCCTCTGCTCCTTCTATCTTTCCGCCAGATCTGATATCCGGGTGGGAAGATTGCGTCTCTTATTGTCTCAGTTTCGTTTCTGTGACTGCTACGATGTCTGGAGACGTCTCATTGATTCTTTCATGCCACTCCTCACCTAATTGTGGTTACAGGGGTCGAGTCGTACCTCCTGTGTGTGTGTTTCTGTCTGTGTGTGTACTCACCTAGTTGTGGTTGCAAAGGTCGAGTCACAGCTCCTGGCCCCGCCACTTCACTGGTCGCTACTAGGTCACTTTTACTTCTCCATGAGCTTTAACAAACCTCTTCTTAAAACTATGTAGGGATCCTGCCTCTACTACATCACTTCCCAAACTATTCCACGTTCTGACAACTCTGTGACTGAAGAAAAACTTCCTAACAGCCCTGTGATTCATCTGAGTCTTCAACTTTCAATTGTGACTCCTTGTTGCTGTGTCCCATCTCTGGAACATTTTGTCTCTGTCAACCTTGTCTTTTATTCTCAGTATTTTGTATGTCGTTATCATATTCCTCCTCATCTGTCCTGTTCTCCAGTGTCGTTAAGTCGATTTCCTTTAATCTCTCCTCGTAAGACATGCCCCTTAGCTCCGGGACTAGTCTTGTTGCAAGCCATTGCACTTTCTCTAAATTCTATCCGTGCTTGGCTAGGTGTGGGTTCCAGAATGGTGCTGCATACTTCAATGTAGGCCTGACATACACAGTGTACAGTGTCCTCAACGATGCCTCATTGAGATGCCGGAATGCTATTCTTAAGTTTGCTAGTTGCCTATATGCAGCAGCAGTTATTTGGTTAATGTGCGCCTCAGGAGAAGTGCCCGGTGGAAATATAAACACATATGCAGTTTAATGTGATCCTTTATTGAAACGTTTCGCCCACACAGTGGGCTTTTTCAAGTCACAAACAGATCTACTTGGGGTGGAAGGTACGCG